CAGCAGCAGCAGCAGCAGCAACAGTTTCTTTGTTGTCTCTTCCTCCATCCCTTTCATTTTTGGGGTTGGGGGTGTTTTTTGTTAACTAGTGTTCCTGTTATTTTTTGTGTATTGTTGTTGTTGTTGTTGCTGTTGTCATCACCTTCTTCGTGGGTTGTTGGCAGGTGCCTTCTTTCCATCAAACATCTGTCATCCTTATCTCTCTTCCTGCCTCTGTTTTTTGTTTGTTTGTTTATTTGTTGTTGTTGTTTTTTGGGGGGGTGGTTTGGGTTGTTGTTGTTTTGTTTTAGATTTTAGGGGGTGGGGTGCTTCTTTCGGTATGTTACTCTCTATGGTTTGACCTCTTATCTTCAGCACTACTGAATTTGTTTTGCAAGTGTCGTGAAACACTTACTAAACTTAACCCTTAACACTTAACCCTCTTGGTCCCTCAGAGCGGCTGGAGTTGTGTACCAATTGCTCCTGGTCTGGGAACAGATCCTGTCAGAAGACCTGGAGCCGCTGCGTATACGAGGCACGGTGCCAGTGTGCATGGCCCAGTACAGGCGGACCTTTTCCACCACCAGGTAAAACCGGGTGCGCATTGCGGATGGGATCGGGCTGGGTCGGTCGGGTCGGGTCGATCGCCCGACTTGTCACCTGAAAATAAACGCTTTTATTTTTTAGGCGACGAGTCGGGCACAATCGGTTTGTGCCACGATAGCCGCTTTGCCCCCTCAATCTGGCTAGCAAACCGACCCGACCCGACCTGGCTCGATCTCCCAAGAGGCACCCCGTTTAATTTAAGGCAACACCCCTTAGATTTGAGGCTGTCAAACTTGAGGCAGGTTATATTAGTATAATATGTTTTCCATTTAAAATCAAAATTCAGGTTATCTATACAGTTTAATTTTAGGAAATTTTTCAACTTTTGTTTTTCCTTTCTTTTGGTTTTTTGGGGATTTTTTAGTTATTATTTGGCCTTTTGCTTTCTTGAATAAGACAAGTGAGCCTTTGCTCACTTAATAAGACAACTGAAAACTGTACGGAGACATAAGTCCTGAAAGAATATGCCTCAGATACTTGTGTGTGTGTGTGTGTGTGTGTGTGTGTGTGTG